TGCATGATTCAGTCTATTAAAATACATTCAGAATGATCACAAATTCAAGACATGGGGGCAGAGAATGTGTATATTTATACCACTTCATATAGTTAATCAATTTCACATGAAGAGTGCCTTTTTTCTCCAAAAATTACCATGTACAAATGTGATATAGATTTTTTACAACAGTTCAATAAACTAGAAGTTTTATTAAGAGACTTACGTTTTAGACACCATATTGCCTGTTTTTGCACTATTTCGCCAACAAAAATAATTCCAATCAAAGCCTCTGTGCAACATGACGGTGTTTCGTTCCCGAATTAATCAACCGTTTAAATGATTAGGTTCAATCGCAATGACTCACGTATTAACAGTGACTTGCTGCCACATACTGGCGGTTTTCATTTCACATTTAAAGTATCTTTTCATTTTTTAAATGATTTCAAATATCAGTATTCAATGTTTTATGTTTAATATATCAAAACATTATTTATGCATTTGTAACTGCAGGTTAAATGCATTCATGAAAGGTCTTAAAAAGTCTTAAATTTAACTTGTTCATGTCTGCAGAAACCCTAAACCTAACCTTACCCATAATTTATTCCTAAAATCACTGGGAAATGATAGCTGATTAACAATCCTAATCCTGATTGTAAGCCTAAAACTGACATTTCCTGACAAGTTATCTCTCAATTCTGATTGGTTGATTGGAATGATGACAAGGATGTTGATCCAGGAACATGTTGTACTTGGTCAAATCACGCTCACCATGTGCGTAGGCACGTATCTGGATTTATAAAAAATAAACTTGGCGTAAATATGTGCGCTCCATACGGATGCTCTTGACTGTGCTTTTTCCTGGAGTTTGAAAAGTAATGAAGTAAACAAGGATTTTAAACTCCGTTTTCATTTCGATATACACATCTGCATTAAATATTCCACACTCATTAATGGAGATAAGCACTAAAATTAGCCTACATAAACTGAAGTTAAACCAAAATTATATGAATTTAGACATTTGTAGTGGATGCGCTTGATCACTTTTCCTCTGGCATGCTATGTTTTAATGACAGCGAGGAGTGCTTTAATAATTCATATTTAAACTAAACTGCAGATCTCATGTTATGAGATTTTTTTAAATTTTTTATAAAGAACAATAATCAATGATGAACACTTACTTCGATATTATGGGGGACACTGCTGGATTCGGTGGTCGAACGGTCCATTGTCCGGTTTGAATAAGTCCAATGATAGCCTAATAGCTTACTGTACAACCGCAGCTGCATGGAGGTGTTGATGGCGTGTCAAGGCATCTTCACAACATTATGAAAAATACCACTGTATTTGAAGCATACAGCTTGAAAAAATTGTAAGATTTGCGTGTTTCCTTTTTAAAATACTAAAATACGCGCCGAATCAGACTGCAATATCTGTTTCCACTAAAAATAGCTAAAAGATGTTCACCTTTTCAGAAAAACTGCATTTGAAATACTATTTGGCCAGTGGAAAAGAATGAGGTCAACTATATTCTAAAATAGGATATTTATCTGAGAATTAAACAGATTTGTTTTTATGGATATTTGGTATATTTATTCTAAAACATACTGGATGATTCTGGCAATAAACATTAATGTGGCACAAATGGCATTCAAAAATGGACTCATATTTCCTTAAAGTCTTGTGCCTTTGACGGTGTTAAATATTGGGTCACGTGGATGGGAGTATGCATGGAAATTATATGCAAATGAGGTTATGCATCGTAAAACTAGGCGTTGTAAGCTCCATATGGTTATTTCGGGGAGGAGACAGGGTACGCACAATCTTCCCCTCACTGGGATTTATAAAGGGATTTTTGCGCAGGTTCTGGTGTATGCATGGTTTCATAAATCAGAAAACTTTTGTGCGTACGCAAAATCTAGCTTTTGTGCGTAAGTACGTAGATTTCATCCTAAAAGTGTAAAGTTTTATACATGAGGCCCCTGATGTTTAGAGGATCTTTGTTCATGAGCACCATGTCTATATTTTGTCAGTAAACATGGCTACTTGTGAATGACAGAATTATACTTCTTGGGCATAGAATAGTGTAATTACGGCATCAACCAGCAGGGGCTACGTGGACCATGCTAACCAAAACTTTTACCCTGTGCATAAAAATAGTAGACTTGCTGGAATTATCCAGAAATGTAGATGATATATTGTCATAATTTATCTGTTCAGGCATGGCATCCTCCAGTGGTGAACTAAACGAGGAGCTCCAGTGCTCCATCTGTCTGGATGTGTTCACTGATCCAGTCACCACTCCATGTGGACACAACTTCTGCAGAACCTGCCTGAACAAGTTCTGGACAAACACACAGACCTGCTTCTGTCCACTCTGTAAAAAAACACTCAGCAATGATCTTGAAATTAACACAACACTCACAAAGGTTGTACAATACTTTAAGAAGCTCAATCAAGGCAAATCTGAGGTGTTCTGTGACATCTGTGATGGAAGAAATCAGAAAGCCGTGAAGTCCTGCCTGACGTGTCAAAGCTCTTACTGTGAGACTCACCTGGAGCCTCATCACAGAGTCCCACGTCTAAAGAAACACAAACTGATCAACGCTGTGGAAAATCTGGAGGATTATATATGCCAGAAACATGAGAGACCTCTGGAGCTGTTCTGCAGAGATGATCAGACGAGTATGTGTCTGTCCTGCACTGAAGGAGACCACAGGACTCACAACACTGTTCCTATAGAGGAGGAGAGTCGAGAGAAGAAGGCAAGAGATACAATCAAAACATTATAAACACCCATGAAATATAGTTTTCTTATGCTGGTCATGTTGAAGGGCTTAAAAAAATAAAAAATAAAATATTTAAAATACTATTTTAGAAAATATTTTAAAATAAAGCCAACACCAATATGCTTTTTTAAAAATCTAAAAAGCTAAAAGTAAATTCTGTCAGTTTTGTGCAGCAGATAATTCAAAACAGAATTAAGAAGATTCAAGAGATTCAGCACTCAGTAAAGGAGACAGGGAAGTGGGGAAAAATTATTAAAATAAATAATCATAATATCTCGGTCTACTTAATGACAGTGCTGAATAAAATGGGGGGAAACTTGCTTTTATAATACTTGAGGTCAGTAGATGAGTAGCTTAATCAGATTATTTCCATTTGATACATACAGGTGCATCTCAATAAATTAGAATGTCGTGGAAAAAATCCTTCCACATTATCAAAACATGACTGATAAACAAGCATATCTTGTTTGTCTATCGAACAATCACTTCGATATCATTACATGTCCGTACATGCCAGTGTAAACTACAAAGTTAAATAATACACTTCAAACACATTTAACAACATATGGAAATTGAAGAAACTTACTTTATGGTCATGAACTAACACTTTGAAACACCAAACGCCAACAAACATCCAAATAATAGGCAGGAAAACTAAGTGCGCAGCTGCCGTTCTCTCAGTAATAACACAATGAGGCAACAGGCAGAAAACTTGTACAATAATGCCTCCTACTGGATGCACCTGGAAATGCGCTCAACAAACTATCAAATAGGAGTCCCTCAATAAAAGACTTCATTGCTCCAGGAGCCTTTTATACAGCCGCCCCCAAAGGTGCTATGCAACTTTGCTTCTACAAAAAGGCGACTTAAGTTGAGTCGGTAGGACCGTGTTCATTATCTGGCAGAGCTGGCAGGATAACCAACCATGCTACTGGTCGAGTGTAGACTTGCCCCTTTATATCTACGTCAGCAGATCTGACATGCCCATCCGAACTGTGGTGTGTCTTGATGACATGTCCAACAGGCCAGAGGGCCCTAGGCATCTGTGGATCTACAATCATAACAACCATTTTCTCTGTTAAGTCTGGGGGAGAGGACTGCCACTTTTGCCGTGTCTGGAGACCTGGAAGGTAGTTTCGGATAAACCTGGACCAAAAGTTATCCGCCAGGACTTGCGAATGCCTCCAGCGTCTGCGACTCAACAATTCAGACTCCGGGTAGATTACCTGTGGCAAGGAACCATCCGGCCGCCCCATGAGCAAACTGTTTGGTGTCACTGGGTCAATGTCTGCAACATCCGAAGACACGTACCCTAAAGGCTTCGAGTTAAGAATAGCTTCCACCTCTAGGAGGACTGTCAGCAGGACTTCTTCTGGAACTGACTGAGCTCCCACGGTAGTATAAAGGGCTGACTTTACAGATCGTACCTCTCTCTCCCACACTCCTCCAAAATGTGGGGCTGCTGGAGGATTAAAGTGAAATTGGATCCTTTGACGAGAAAGCTGTTTCTGTAAGTCAGGAGCCATTTCAGTGAAGGCCTGTCTCAGCTCTCTTTCACCCCCTTTGAAGTTGGTTCCTCTGTCTGACCACAGTTCCACTGGTGTTCCCCTTCGTGCAACAAACCGCCTAAGAGCCATTAGGAAGGAATCAGTATTCATGGTACTGAGGAGGTCCAAGTGCACCGCTCTGGTAGTTAGACACTTGAAGATTATCCCCCAGCGTTTTTCTGTGCGTCTCCCAATTTTAATCAGTATTGGCCCAAAGCAGTCTACATCACATGAGTAAAAGGCAGGTTTGAGGAGACGGAGACAAGCGGAAGGCAAGTCTGCCATCTTAGGAATAGTTGGCTGTGCCCTCCAACGCTGACACTCTGGACACCCATGCTGGTGCCGACGAATGGCTTCACGGCCACGGATTATCCAATAATAGCGCCGCATTTCGGCAAAGACCCGCTCAGGTCCTGGGTGATGCAGCTTGCAATCATAATGCTTAATCAGTAGCCGGGTGACTGGATGATGAGCGTCCAATACAATGGGGTGTAAGGTACATTCTTCTATAGACTCAGCTTTCCTCAATCGACCTCCCACCCGGATTAAACCACTACATCTGTCCAGTTCAGGAGCTAAGGTAAGAAGGTTACTGTCCGAAGACACTGGTTTCCCTTTCTCCAAATGTAGATAGTCATTGGGGAAAGACTCCTGCTGTACTCGCTTGAGATTAAGGATCTCAGCTTGACGATAATCATCTGCATTTGGAAAGGAATCAGAGGTAGAGTTTACCGCAATTTCCTTGGCAGTGGTATCCAGGAGTTCTTGCCAGGTCTCATGATTCCGAGAATCAAAGATAATGGATTGGGGTGGTACTGCCGTGGCTCCGCAGAAGGCAGACTTCCTTATTTCTGTGGGGTCATCTGTCAGGTCTGTTCTTGGCATCACTGGCCAGGTAGCTGAATCTTGGAGTAAAAAAGGAGGTCCTTGAGACCATCTGTTTGTCCCTGTAAGGACATTCAGAGGTTTGCCTCTAGTGAGGTCATCTGCAGGATTGCTCGCCGAAGCCACATAGCGCCAGGAACACTTTTCTGTTAGCTCCTGGATTTCGGCGACTCTATTGCCAACAAAAACGTTGTAGTGGCAGGATTCAGAGTTCAGCCAGGTAAGGACAGTGGAAGAGTCTGTCCATAACACCGTGGTTTCAATCTGCAAGGTCAGTTCCCTCTGAAGCAATCTAGTTAACTGAGAAGCCACAAGAGCGCCACAAAGTTCCAATCGAGGAATGGAATGAGAACGTTTGGGGGCCACTCGGGATCGAGCTACCATAAAGGACAGGTACACTTGCCCTCTTTTGTCAGTGGTCCTCATGTATGCCACAGCTCCATATGCCTGTTCTGAAGCATCTGAAAATATCATGTATGGCACCATCCTTCTCCACCTCAGGAGGGACATAAGTCCTAGAGAGAGTGATGCTTGGTAGGTACTGAAGTTCACTTTCCCAGATGCGCCATGACTGCAAGAGTTCAGGTGGTAAGTTTGGATCATCCCATCCCCGCTGCTTATTCCATAGCTGCCTAATTATGACCTTGGCTCGAGTGGTGTAGGGCAAAAGAAGTCCGAGAGGGTCATATTGAGTGGCTAGGACCTTGTAGATGTTCCTGAGGGTGGGAGTTTCATACACAACAGGCTGGTGCTTGTACGCTAGGGTATCAGTCTGACAGTTCCAGCTTAGGCCTAAGGTTGACTCTGGTACATCCGACTTGTCTTGAGCTAACCAAAGTTCCAAACTCTCAGCTTGCGCTTCTGTTGGTAAGTGACTCAGAATGCTGGGAACATTGCTGGCCCCTTGTCGTATCTCAAATCCAGCTTTCGAAAGCATCTCTCTCAATCCATCGACCAAGTACCTTGCTGCCTCAGGGGTGCTCAGACTCTGAAGGCAGTTGTCCACATAAAAACATTTGTCCACTGAGAACCTGATGGACTCACTAGTCATGCTATGCTCCGTCACATGGCGCTGCAGAGCATAAGTGGCACAGCATGGACTACATGTAGTACCAAATGGTAACACCTGCCATTCAAAGACTTTAGGGGGTTCATCCACTTTCAGATCACGCCAAAGGAACCGCAGTAAGGAACGATCTTCAGAAAGGAGGCGGACCTGATGGAACATCGCCTTGATGTCACCACTTACTGCAACTGGATGCTCCCTAAATTTGATGAGAACACCTAGCAATGATGCACCAAGTATAGGGCCAGGCAACAGATACTGGTTGAGGCTTTGCCCATGATATTAGTGGGAACAGTTGAAAACAAGACGAGGTTTCCCATTAGGAGTCTGTTGTCTCCTGAGTTACTTCCTGGACAGCTCCTGTCTGCATGAGCTTCTCCATCTCTGCTCTATAGGTCTCTGCTTTCACTGGATCCTTCAACAAACGTTTCGTTTCCGATATGAGGGCTGTGCAGTTGAGGATAACAACTTTCTGAGGTCTTCAGGTGTTGGTGGCGGAGGTAGTACATCTGGACTTTGAGAATAATACTGAGAAGGCAGATATCCTTGTGAAGGGTGAAACTTGGAGGCCTTGGAGTACCTCGGTACCTGTCGTTGGTAGGTAGCTGTGCTGGGTTTTGATAACTTTAAAGTCTCCATACCCCTTCTCAGTTCTAACTCGGGCTCAGGCCAGGGTGGAAGCTCCGGCCACTCTTCATCATCAGCTGATGTGACCAGCTCTATCCAGTCTACGTGGCAGGAAGGACTGGATGGCAGTTTAGGGTCTGGTCGCACTGGAGGACTGTCATGGCCTTTACTTGGACTGAGCTCTGTTCTCAGGGTTTGAGCAACTTTAACACGTTCTTTAAACTCAGTACTAACTGCTTTCAACCCCATCATGTCAGCACGAAAGGCTTGGTGTGTCTGCAGCAGCTGTGCATTCTCTCTGCGAATGGCTTGGAGATCATTATAGTACTCAGGCTCAGGGTACCTGGGCTGCTGGGCTGACATGAATGACTGAAGTATGTTTTCACTGCGCTCTGTGTAACTGAAGCTTGGTGATCTCAACCGAGGACCTGGGCGAGGAGCAGCATCATCATAGAGGTAATCAGGAAAGTCCCACGATGACTGGAGAGGTGTCACATGGGCCGGTACATCCCAGGAGGGTGAGATAGTATGTTCAGTTACAGCTCGGCCCCCTACATACTGCACTTCATAGTCTTGGAGTCGGACTGGTGGATGTGTTCGGCGTTTTGGTCTGGTTGCCCCAACAATCTCCTCATTAGATTCCATGGTACCCAGAATGAACACTGTATCCGGCTCGAAGGACCAATTGTTGGAGAGGAAATAAGACTGCTAGGCTCTGGTTCTAACTATCAGCAGTATACACTCCTGGTGTGTCGGTCAGGACACAAAGAATGAGGAGACTGGAGCTTCTTTCCAAAGTGTATTGAATATTAGTCTAAAAATAACAAAACATAACAGTATAAGTAAACAGGTACATGTTCACACATAAATCAGGCACTTCCTAATCAAGAATACTAACATTTTCAATATAATCTAAACAACAGCTGAAGTTTCAGTATGCAGAGGATGCAATTGGAGACGATATAACCATTGGTCTGGTCCCATAAAATTATTTCTATACTCAAAACTGAAAATGTGGTCTGTTATGTAAAGAGGATTTTTAGCAGAAACTGTGGTCCTTGGTGATTCATAAAATGCAATAGCTACCACCACTTAAAAAAAAAATTTGCACAGACTGACAGTTTGCAACCTTCCTTTGAGAAATGTTCTTTAAACTGAAGGTTTCTCTTTTTGCAGACCCGTGCCTCCAACGATTTTTTCCTTACTTCATCTCGAACAGTCCACATTTCAAACTGGATGATTATTGGTCTGGGTTTCCTGTTGGTAGCAATATTGTTCACCTTGCCTAAACAATATACTGTATCTACTGACCCCCAAAGCCTTACCGATTACAGTGAAACCACCAAGGTAAGGATCCCAATCACCTTTTCTCTTATGACTGATTTTTCTTTTTCTGGAAGGTCGATTAGTCTGAGATCTCATTTGCAATCTTGTATTTGGCGTACTCTAAACACAGCTGTCTTAATAAGCCTTTCTCCTCAGTCTAGTTTGCATCACTGTATATATTACTGTTAGTTGTTTAACATTTCTATCGTCAGAGCTGGGTAACTAATTACATGTAATCTGGATTACATAATCAGATTCCAAAAATCAAGTACTCGTAATAAGAGTATATTACAGTTTATAATGCTTTTAATCAGAGCACAGTTACTTTTTAATGGATTACATGGTTGCATATTATTCACACAATGGTAGTAAATCATTCATGATTGATTGATTCTCCCCAATTCTGGTATTTGAGTGAAACTGGTATGTGAATATCAAATACATATTTTTTGTCAGTAACTAAGATTTAAAAATAACAGTAATAACAATAATAATTTTAAGTAACTGTGATGTGCTGGTGATTACCACAGTATAGTAAAATCACTTAAAGTTCTCCAAACTTAAACTCATGTCATAAGCAGTTAAAGAAGTCTTATTTTTTCTCCTTTAAATTTTCCTTTCCAAAAATCCTGCTTTGTGTCGGTCAGTGTTGTGGACTTGTGTTTCCTTGTTTTACCCCTGTCTTAGGCCATGTCCACATGTACACGGGTATTTTTAAAAACGGAGTTTTTCCTTCTTCCGTTTTAAAAAAAAATTCCGTCCACATGAAAACGCAAACGCATGCTATGAAGCACTGTCAAGAGCATGCCAAGCCAACAGGTGGTGATAAAATCTCAACCGTAAAACCATGTTGGCCAATCAGAAGCCTGAAAAGTTTTCAGTAGGCGGAGATAACAGCACAGGCTCTGACCTCACAAGCCAAAAACTCCGGTTTCGCTGTCTACATGATAACACTGCAACCGGAGTTTTTGAAAATCTTCACCCTGGCAGGAGTTTTCAAAAATGTTCGGTTTCAGTGACCTAGTGCTGCGTTTACGTGTGGACGAAAGGCCATACCGCGTAGAAAAAGCTGCGGTTTTGAAAATAACCGCGTTCG